TCCTTGTCGGCCGTAATCATATACTTGCATGCTTCTTCTATTGGTGAATAACGCTGTCTCTTCACCGTTGGTTGGTCGGCTAAGCGTGGATTTATCTAGATCCTCCTCATTGATTAGCAAATTCTCTAGATCTGCTAAAGTTGGCTCGGTAGCCCATCCCCGAGTCGCCGTGATAATACTCTTGTATTCTGGCTTAAGACCATGAATGATAATTTTTTTCATTCTGGTCTGTGTAATACTATTTTCAGGATCTAGCTTAGAAATCTCATCACAAAGAGATTTCACCTTTGAAAAATATTGACTCACGGACATATTCTTCTGGGAGATTGACAAAAGCTCGTTTTCAAGCCTTTGTAATTTTGCGTCATTCTTCTTTGCAAAAATTGARGTCAATATGTCCCAAGCTTCCTTTGGCGTTCGGGCATCTTTGATCCGTTGTAAGAAGTCTTCTTCTACAGCTATGGTTAAAGCGTACATGGCTTTACCTGCTTTAACATTCCACTTCTTTAAGGCGTCAGAATCACKTACTGGTCTTTGCGGTACAACGTCTGGACGTACCGGTGTTGAAGTTGAGGTGTCAGAAGTTGTGTCTGTGCTTCTTGCTTCTCTTGGTGGCGTCGTCTCAGCTCCGTTCACGATATCCCATAAATCTTGCCCGAGCAAATAAAACTTCATACGAGTACTCCATGACCCATAATTGTTGTTATTGAGCTTCTCAATAAAGGTAGTAAAATCCGCCATGATTTTAACAAAGCCTCCAAATAACAACCAAATATATGAGTTGGTCGGATCGACTTTGCTCTGATACCAAATGTTGAAACAAACAAAACACTCTTATATTTATTTGTAAATCACTCACAATACAAAGTTTATAACTTAAGAAAGACAATCAAATCTCACACCACTCATTATTTTTATAAAACCTCACAAAACTCTTTGTTGTTTGAGATTGCAACTTCTCTCTTGTACTCTCTTATATTTTTATTCTATGGGATGATTTTTTGGGATGATTACAAACAATGAGAAGCTCACATGTTTATAGGGTGTTTGAGGAGGAGGTTGGTTAAGTGTGAATAAGTGAGCCAAATTTGTTGACAACAAAACCAACCTCCATTTTTGACTTGTGTACCTCCTTCACCAACATTCTTTCACCAACCTCCATGGTAAAACAATCTAGAAGCACATGTGAAAGTGATGATGAATTACTTTCAACATGTATGAGAGATTTATAGGCGAGGGTTTTCAATCCGAGACTGACATCCAAGTTACTGTCAGCGAGCATGGCTATCACATGATTATCGTCTTCGTAGTTAAAGAAGAATGCAATGTGGAGAAATAGAGATTGATCGTAGTCATGTAAACTGTCGTATCCGACTCTAAGTACTCTCTCAACATCTTGATCAAGGCTATTTTCTAGCCTATGCAGTATAACTTCCCAGTCGTCTTCATTCTTCCCACGTAAAGATGAACCCATAACACGGAGACCCAACGGAAGGTTGCTGCAAAGGTCTGTTATTCTTTCTGGAAGCTGTTCAAAACCAACAGGTGAAGAGCTTTGTCTAAAAGCATATCTACATAAGATCTCAAGAGCTTCTTCTCTAGATGGAAAATCCACATGGTATGTAATATCAAAACCATGTTGCTGCAAAAGCACTTGATCTTCTGTTGTCACAATAATCCTACTTCCAGGACCAAACCATGTAGTTTCATTAGCCAAAGCCTCTAATTGCTTTACATCATTCACATCATCAAGAATGGTAAGCAGTTTCAGGTCGCACAGCCTTTCTTTTACCGTACCTAAATGGAATATCCTCATAACATTTTGGTTTAAAGTTTTGGAAAGAAGTTGCTCTTGTAACCGCAACTTTAAACCATACTCGTCAAGACCACTATCATAGCTGCCCCTAATATTCTCCATAGAACAAGTAAGGTCAAAACTACTAGAGAGTCGGCTATGTAAAGCTCTCGCAATGGTAGTTTTATCAATTCCCGCAGGACCAAAGATTCCAACAATCATAGCTCCATCCTCATATTCTAATTGCAACAAAGACTGCAATTTATCCAAGTGTGCTTCAATCCCCACCATGTCTTTAAAATCCCAAGAGATTGTAGTGTTTAGTTTGTTTGAAACTGATATATTGTGATTTTGTGCATTCCCACAGCCTATATTCATATGCATTTGGTATCTTTTTGCATAATATTAGTGTGTTTCTTTGCATTTTGAGTCTCATTTCATAGTTAGGATCATTTTAGAGTCTAGGATCCATTTCTTTGTATTTTGTGCATATTTGATTCCTTTTTAGGTACTTTGGAGATATTGGAGTAAGTTGGACACAAAGAAGTTAGAAGAATTGATCAAATGGGAAAAAACATGCAGAAAAAGTCCGAATTGGCTCAAATACCATCTCTGTTGAAGTTCTTCCCTTGATCGGCTTCATCTGAAATTTTGTGAGCTGAACGGAAATTGAGTTAGCTTTCTAATGGAGGTGATTTCAACTCATTTAGAGCTATATTGCGAAAGTTATGAAAGATTTAATGAAGACATGTCCTTCTGGCGAGCAAAAGAAGCAAGTGCTGAGAATGGGAGTGGATCGGTCGATCCGAATTTATAAAAATCACCGAATGACCTGCGGATCGACCGAAATTGAAGGT